CGGCGGAGAGAGAGAAAGTGGCTGTGAGCGGGGGGCCGAGGGCGGCAGGAGCGTGCGGGCACAGGCGATGTGGATGTGTCCCTATTTCCCACCCGAGGGCAGAGCCCAGACCCCAGCAGCTCTGTGCTCCCACACCAGACACCACAGCATCCAGCCTCCCCCCTCCCAGGACCCCTGCCCACCCCCTCACCCCGGCCAAGCCCTGTCCGGCCCTGCCAGGGGCACGTCCTGGCAAGTGCTCCCTGGGAAAGAGGGACACAGGACCGGTGGGGACATTTTACCTTCTAGATCGTCGATGGTTTTCTCCAGCTTTGCCACAGACCTCTCTGCAAACTCCGCTCGGGTCTCAGCCTGCGGAAGCGTGGGAGGGAGAGGGTGAGCGGTGGGGCACGACGGGGACAGTGCAAGCTGCACCGCACCCCAAATCTGCCCCGTCTGCATCTCCCATACCACCCCCACGAGCCCTCCCCTGGGAAAGGCAAGGGACAAGGGCCTCGTGGACCCCCGCATCCTAAACTAGAGCAGGCCAATGCCCTCCACGGCAGCATCCCAAACCCAGGCACCTGCCACGCTGTATGGCTGCAGTTTTGGGAAGGGTGAGAGGACACGGGCATAATGGGGTCAAAACCCACACAGGACGGCAAACCCATGCCTGCACCGATGCAGTGCTGGCCCCGCACCCCTTACCTCCTTTAGTTTTTCCCCTAGAAGCTTGATTTCCTCCTCATACTTGTCCTCCTTGGTGGAATACTGCAGAGACAGATGGGCGCCTGTGAGCCCCATGGGACGCCTCCAGCCATTCTTCACCCCAGCAGGAGACCCCAGCACCCCCAGACCCCATGCACTCTGCCCAGCCCCAGCAGCCCCGCCGGGTCCTACCTTGTCAGCCTGGGCCTCCAGGGACTTCAAGTTGTTGGTGACAATTTTCAGCTCCTCCTCTAGGTCACCACATTTACTATATCCCAAGCAGGGGCCGCCAGGAGGGGAAGCAGGGCCGAAGGGCAGGTGGAGAAGTGAGGGGGGGAGCAGAAAGAGCAGGCGCAGGGAAGGAGGAAAGAAAGAGAGAGAACAAGTTGAGAGAGGAGAAAATTCAGCGCAGGTGGAGAAGGAGCAGAGCCGCTGCAAGTGGGAGCTGCTGGGACGCATCTGTTCCTCCGTTCCTCGTGCCTCCTCACACGGACACCCTGTGCATCACCGCCGGCCGGGCTCCTGCCAGCCCTGCCGAGAAGGAGAGCAGGCACAGAGGGATGGAGGATCGCGCCCAGCCTGCACCTGCCGGAGTGTGGGAGGCAAGGGCAGGTCGGTGGTGGAGGCAGCGGTGCAGAGAGGAGAGAGGTGGCTCGCACGGTTTGAGAGACAGCGACAGAGAGAGGGGGACTGCTGCGCGTCGCCCCGTGCCCCTGCCCCAGTACCTCTTCCTCTGAGGCAATGAGGGATTTGAGGGTCTGGTCCATGGTCCGCAGCTCTTCTTCCAACTGTCTCACTCGGCTAGGGTGGATGAGGGGCACCCCGGGGGGGACAGCAGAGAACAGGGTCAAGTATGTGCTGCCAGCAGGCCGGCATCCCCCTGCCCCCAGCCTGCGAGCCCAGGGACCATCCCAATGGCAGACCCTGCCGTTCCCTAGGAGGGACATCCCCGTCCCCATGGCAGCCCCTTGGGGCAAGGGCTGTGTGGGACCCCTGCATGCTGCCCACTGGGAGCCCCGCTCACCTCTCCGCCACCTCTGCCCTCTCCTCCGAGCGCTCCAGTTCTCCCTCAAGGACGACCAGCTTGCGGGCGACCTGTTGATGGCAGCAAGAGGCACATGTCGGCCCTGAGCTTGCCCCGGCTGGAGGCACAGCGCTGTGAGGAGGCGGCCCCGGGTGCTGCCGGAGGTTCAGGACTGGGGGAAGGGGACATGTGGGTGTGGGCACGCACCTCCTCGTATTTGCGGTCAGCCTCCTCCGCTATGTGCTTCGCCTCCTTCAGCTGCATTTCCTGGAGCTCCATCTTCTCCTCATCCTTCATGGCCCTGTTTTCGATGACCTTCATGCCTCTGAGGAAAGCCCAAGCCAGAAAATATTACTGCCGTGGGTTGAGGTGGCACCTGCACCTCCTGCCTGCTCGCTGTACCCATCCGCCACCCCCAGAGACATGGGACATTGTCCAGGGATGCTGGGACTCGCTGGTCACCCCATGCAGTAAAGTCACACCAGTGGTACCCCAAGGATGCTCCTGCACACAATTAAAGCAGCGGAGCTGGCCCCAGGACCATATTCCAGAGTGAGGAGATGTGGCTATGGTGCCTCTCAACCAGGCAGGTCCTGAACCCATCATTTTGGGGGGGAGAATGTGTGCAGCCCAGGAGGAGACAGCCACAACCTTCACAAAAGCAGCCTGACAGGCCAGCAACCTTTACAAAATACTAAAAAACATCCCATGGCAAAGCCTTTTCCCATTCAGGAGTGACGCTTACGCACAGGGGGTCACCGAACCCCCGCGAACAGGGACTCCTGGAGACTCTTCTCGTCTTGCTCAGATGCTGTTGCTCAAACTGGTCTTTGCCAATGGAGAGGAGAGCTCA